GCTCTATGGATTTTGAGGAGGCAGAGAGGAGTGAGCCAACTCAAGCCCTGGAACTGACAGAAGATGACATTAAAGAAGATGGCATTGTTCCTCTCCGTTACGTTAAATTTCAGAATGTTAACAGTGTAACTGTGAGTAGCACCTCATTACTATTTCTTTCTCTGGACAGTGGGCAGCAGTGCTATCTTCTGTGTTCTAGGTGATTCTAAATGGTCTTTTAAAGTAAAGCTTGTTCATTAAATTTGAGGAATAGAAGATGGCTCATGGGATCTGTCAGTTTGTTCTAGAACATTTACAGTTAAACTGGAGATATTTATGATTATTCTAACTCAGCACTCAGTGATGAGTGCTGGTACCTGTATAAATCCTGTTAATTTTCTAGATAGTAGACTTTCAGTTACTATGGTATTAAAGCTGGCCTAAGATTTACTATATAGCCCGCGCTGGCCTTGAACTCAACAACAGTCCTTGTCTTTCAACCTTCCAAGTGCTGGAATTTGTAGGCATGAGCCACTATATCCAGCTAAAAATGACTTTCTGAAAAGATAATTTTACATTTTAAGTGACAGCTAAGATATATCTGAATATTAAATAGTGCCAGAGATGATTTTAAGTGATACATCTATGAAAAGAAAGAAGAAATCAATCACATAGCTCTGGCTTGAAGGCATGCCAAACTGATGAAATACCTCTGTGTCGATAATCAGAGAACACTGTTAAGTTCTTTTAGGAGAGTTTCGGTAGACATAGACAGTTTCTGTGACCGTAAATGAAGCTGAAGACGAAGGTCATATAATAGTAGAACACTGATTATCACTCATGACACTGTGCGTTATATACAGATACTTAGTGATATAAGTAAAGACACATAAGGTGTACCTATCACTTTTGTGATGAACAGTGAATTAAACTAATAGTTTTGATCAATTTAATCAAAGAAAGGTGAATTTCAAAAATAATAAGTATAAACAACATAAGCAGTAGTGCTTGCATTTGAAAAGCCAAATATAAGTAAGCTGGGAACTGATTTAATACTGTATTACATCTACATTAATTAGATAAATTCCTTAAGGAGTCTAGGGTTGCCTATGAAGACAATAAAAATTGACTGTTAAGTAATGTATTAGAAGGAACAACATACATTATCTAAGTGAAGAGAGACAGTAATTTTTCCTTTTATTTTAAATAATTTTTACTTAACTTTATGTGCATTGGTGTAAAGGTGTCAGATCTCCTGAAACTGGAGTTACAGACAGTTGTGAGTTGCCACGTGGGTGCTGGGAATTAAACCCAGGTTCTTTGGAAGAGCAGCTAGTGCTCTTAACTGCTGAGCCATCTCTCCAGTCCGAAATTTTTTTTTCCTTATACAGTATATCCTGATTACAGTTTCCCCTTCCTCTACTCCTTACAGTTCCTCCCCTCCCATCCAGATCCACTTTATGTCTCTCATTAGAAGAGAACAGGCTTCTAAGAGATAACAACAAAACGTAACAAAATAGAATATAAGATAAAACAAAAATCATCACATCCAAGTTGGACAGGACAAACCAACAGAAGGAGAAAAATCCAAGAGAAGACACAAGTATCAGAGCCACTCCTTCACACAATCACCCATAAAATCATGAAGCTTAAGCTATAAAAATATATATATATACATACACATACATACAGAGGACCTAGTACAGACTCATGCAGGCCCTGTGCTTGCTGTTCAGTGAGAGACAGTATTTTAAAGTGAGAATATTTTTAGATTATCATTTTTTTTTAATGGAGGAAAAATTTTTTTTTTTTTTTTCAAAATCCATTATAAGTAATGCTTCTATTCTTTATATACTGAGGGAAATTTTAAGATAGAGAGTATAATCAGGACTTAAACACTTCAGGGTGCAGAGCATAGCCTGAGGAACAGATTTACAGTATCACTTCTTCTCCTATTCTAGGAAGTAGAATGCGTGCATAAGTATTAGAAAGAATACAACTACAGAGATTTTCCACAGTTAAAATACTGTGGTTTTAATAAAATTATCAATAGCAGTCTACCGATTATAATCATGAATTTCACACTCTTTCAGTGTTCTCTGTAAAGGATTTAATGCTTACTTCTCTATACCATCACACTAAATTACCATGAACTTGCATATGTGGGCATCTTGCCAGGGCATCTCTAGAGAAGCTGAGAATTGCAGTACAGACAAGGAATGGGCAGTCTTTTAGGAACACTAGTGTAAGTATAATGAAATATTGATTAATCCTTACAAAGATGGAAGGTATTTTTATTAAGAAAGAAATACATTAAATCTTAAGCATGTTCATGAAAAAATATTGTAATTATAAATTATAAATGTGATTTTTTTTTTTTAGTTATTTGTTCAGTCTAATCAAGTTAAAGAGAGAATTTCATATTTACTTTCATTGGTACTCCAGTCCAGGCAACAAATATGAATGACTTCAAACGAGTAAGTTTGTTCAAATGATAATTAAGGAAAATGTAAATACAGTTTCAAAGGAATAATTTCTTATATTTTAGTTGTCATTGCTTTTAAACATAAACATTGAAAACTGTGTCTAATGGAATGTTAAATGAATGCAACAAGTTCATATGTTCAACTAAAAAAGTCTTTAGTAAATTAAATTAATAGAATAAATATTAATGATATCTGAGTAAGAATAATAGTGATTACAAAAATGCTTAGGAATAATAGGGAAATTGTAGTTAAGGACTTTGCTTATAATAATAAAAATGTTTTTACAATGACTTGAATAATTTTATTATGAAAGAATAAACATAAATTTTAGCACATGGACATTGTTATAACTTTCCAAGCATTGTGTGTCTTGAAAGGACACATTTCAGCACATACATTTAAAGTGATAGTGCAAATTTTTTCCTTTTTTTATAAATATATGTCTGTATTTGTGAAGGATGCAACCCTAAAGGTTTCCGTGGAGATTACCAGGTACCCAGGACTTTGAAGAGCAAGGTTCAGCCTCTTCCTTTGCTTTCTTCGGCAGCTTCTTAGTAGTAGCAGTTGTGTGGGTGGCTCCTAAATACACAAACCCAGGTCATGGAGATGCCATTGAAAGCTGTCTTAGTACCAGACCTGAAGCTGTATATGAGAAAACATGTGGCCACACAGGAAACATTGGCCACAGTGCTTCTCATTGCTGCACTTGGCCAGTGGTCTAGGACTTGAGCTTATTACCAGGAATGAGTTTCCTTAGGGCTGGCAGTTTATGGAAGAGGAGGTTCCCAGCATACTTTATGCAAGGAGTTATAACAGCCTGAGAACTCTTTCTCTTTTTGGTGATTATCTGCAGACCCTATTTAATTACAGAAAATAAATTGTTTAACAGTGGATGTCCTAAGAGATAAATGATGCCTTAAAAAAAAGAAGAAAAAAAAGGAAGGCCTGGATAATACATATTTTTGCTGGTTTCTTCTCAGTCACTTTGACTATTTCATGGCATAATTAAGGTTGCTATGAAGACAGGGATGATTATGTACTTAGCTTTGCTATGCCCAGATGTTTAGTATGTGTGTAATGCTTGCTCAGAAGAAGCAGGTATCAAGCAGCTTCTTTCTTACTCTGTAGGATGTATTTTTCAGGGAAAATGTGTGGGCAACAGATTTGATTTCGCTGTCTGCTTTTCTGGCTTGAATTAAATGCCATTGGCGTTGGTCTTAACTGTTTTAACTGTTCATTGAGCAGCTTAATTCTCTTTGTAAGATTTTTTTACTGGAAGTCAGGTTAATATCTTCCTTAAGTTTTGCTTCAATATCCTATTATATTTTCAGTTTATGCTACTCAGCTTCTGTTTTTAATGAAAGTAACATTTTCTTCCACATTTTTATCAGTCAGCTAGTCAGTTCTAATTTTTCTGATTTGCCTTAATAATTGTCTTAAGTATTTGTCTCACATCTGTCTGGCTGCTTGGTCTGTTCTCAAAAAATGCCAAAGCTGCTTTTAGGGGGTGCACTTGATTTTTTTTTATCATTTGTTTACCTTTTTCACTTTATTTAAATCATGAAAAATGGCAATTTTTCAACTTTTCAGGTTCAGGTATTATTTAAAATATGAAAGATGTTTGAGGATCCAGAAGTTTTTATTAATATTTATTTAATAGAAATTAATCTGGGAATCTAGGTGTAGTGGTGTGTACCTGTAATTTCAGCACTTGGAAAGTTGAGGTAATATGACTGCTATCAAGTGTGATGCCTTCTATTTCAGAGTGAGATTCAGAAAGAAAAAGTTGAAATGGAAAAAATTTTAAATTACAATTAATAAACCCATTTTACATTAGCAACAGTAGTTTTTAATATTTTTATTAAAATAGAATTATATTACTTTCCTCTTTGACTCCCTCAGGCCCCTCCTATTTTGAAATCCATTGGCAAAAAACCCTTCCTGAGGTTTCACCTAGACACCCTCAATCTCAAGTTGATAGCCTCTTTTATTATATTTATTACATACTCATACATATTGTTGTATTTTTTTTAACAAATGCTGAGTCCATTTTTGTTCTTTGTGTGTGTTTGGTTTTAAACCTGTCCACTCAGCACAGGACAGCCAATAAAGAGGACTCATCTCTGGGAGAGGCCAAGTTTTCTTCTCCCAGAAGTTAATAGTTCCCCGTAGTTCTTTTTCTATGAGTTGGATCATGCAGAATTTTTTTCCTTTGGCATGAAAAAAGTCCATTGATTTTGCTGTTATTCCTGTCCTGTTTATATAGCCATTTCTAGGAGACTGTTCCACAGAAGACTTCTGATATTGTCTCTTAGAATCTTTGTTACCCCTCTTCCACAATGTTTCCTCATCCAGAGATGCAGGAGCTGTGATATAGGTATACCTACTGGAGTTGGCTGCCCATGATCCATTGATCTCTGCATTGTGTTCAGTTGTGTTTTTCTGTGATAGTTTCCCTTTTCTGTAAGGAGAAGTTTTGATGAGGTTAGCCACACTTACCTGTGGAGGTAAGGACAAGATTTAGACTATGGTAAGAAGAATGCTGGTCTAGCAAAGTGTCAGTAATAGATTGTTTTCTAAGATCCATTACCTTACTATCCCTGGGAAGCTGGCAGGGTTCCATTTAGACAGTTGCTGGTTGCCACCAACATGTGATTGCCACTTCTTGCACTTACATACATATCTTGCCATGTGTTACTTGTGGTTCATAGGTGTTACAGCTAGATAGAGCTCGTTAATTGTGTCCTTTCTTTGATAGTTTTCGTAGTATTTTCTGGAATCATGAAAGTTAGATCATAGGTAGAGGCTTTCAGGTCAGATCCAGCTCAAGTCATTTGAGTCATGTATCCTCGAGGTGTGGTTTTCATGTTTAGCATCTGATCTTCAACCCCTGAGAGGTAACCAAGGGCTACATTGGTAATGTATATTGTTTTGGGAGTCACTTGAACTATACTGACCAAGCCTTCAAAGTTTCTTGTGTCTGGTACTTGTTAGTCTATGGTTCTTGTGGAGAGCATTGTTAGTGCAGGTAACTTCTTTTAAGGTACGGGTGTGTGTGTGTGTGTGTGTGTGTGTGTGTGTGTGTGTGTGTGTGTTTTGTTTTTCCTCCTATATTTATCTCCCTCTCTCCTCGCATTTGGAGCCCCTTCCCATTTTTCACTTCATATCACCTGCTTCCTGCTGGTCTCCTCTCAGGCCCTACTGCATGGTCCGTTTATACTTGTTTCTGTGATACTCCATGTTGTATATTCACATCTGAAGATTTGGTGTAGGAACCACAGATGAGAGAGAACATGTAGCATGGCATTTGTCTGGGTTACCTCACTCAATAGAATCTAGGTCCATCCACTTACCTGCCAATTTGGTTGAGGTTGAGTGATCGCTACAAGTGTGGGGCCTTAACAAAAAGTTAAACTGGAATTTAAAAAAAAAAAACTGTAATTAATAAACTCATTATAAATTAACAGTGATATTTCTAATGAAATGCACATTTTCCAGGGCCTGGAGAGATAGTTTAGTGGTTAAGAGCACTTATTGCTCTCACAGAGAATCTGTCTGTTTGATGGCTCACCTGTCTGGAACTCAAGTTCCAGGACTTCAGACATCCTCTTGTGATCTCCGAAGGCACCAGGCACACACATCATCCACATATATGCATACAGGCAAAATGCTTGTACACATAAAATAAAAACTCTTAAACACCCACCTTTTTAAATAGAAAAAACACTTTAATAAGAAGAGAAACACTGCTTTATATTTTTATGGATTTCTTCCCTAGCCTAATAGAGTTCTTATGGAAAGACCTGTTTCTGTATTCAACCTGTTAGCACATACCATGTTTCTATTTGATAACAAAATGTATATTTGTAAGAGAAAGAGAATTTTAAAAGTAAATAAATACTTAGTGTTCTGAAGATGGTTTTGAATTCACAGACTTCCTCAAAGAACAGCTCTAGGGTCCCTAGTAATACTGATAGAACTGCTATAAGAAGTTAAAAACAGGATTCTTAGCCCTTTGATTTCAAAATTGAAATCTTGATTGGTTGAATGCTTTTCTTGGGTATATTACATATTTTAATATTACGTTGGTTTTGTAATTGCTTGTAGGTGAGATTTATTCTGCTTGCAGTCACTCATTTTCTTGTAGGGTTATTCTTATATTTAAGAAACAATAACTTGAATGTAGAAAAACATAGGAGAATTTATGTGAGATTGGCCCATTTGGTCCTTCTGTGGAGTTCCTTATTAAAAACTATCAGTGAAGCCGGGTGTGGTGGTGCACATCTTTAATCCCAGCACTCAGGAGGCAGAGGCAGGCAGATATCTGTGAGTTTGAGGCCAGCCTGGTCTACAAAGCTACGTAGAGAAACCCTTTCTCAAACAAAAAACCTGTCAGTGATTTTGGATTCTAGCTTTGGAACAGTAATGCATTTGATTTTCCTGCTCCTGTATTACTGTGTCATGGAAGTTTTTGTCCCAATTTTAACAGGATTGTGTTCTTGAAAGGCAATATACACACGATAGATAAAGTATTCTCATATTTCCAGCCCAGTGACATTTTTCTTAAACAATCTTTTACAGTTTTGTTAATCTGATATTAAAAGGATCTATGTTGAGATTTTTAAATTTCAAAGTATATTTGGTGTGTATCCTATATTCAGTGAAAATAGACCTGATAACTTTTCTGCAGTGGAAGAGAGAGCTACATAAAATGATTTAATGGATCACGAAGTAGAAAGTATTTTTCAGTGTATATTCTTCTGTTGTGTAAGTTATTTGTAGATGATTTTAGTTTTCAGCATGTCACTGACCTCCCCCTTACGTCACTAAGTTGACAGAAGCTAAGGTAATATTGATACATCTTGATTGTGGACAGCTACTTTAGATGACTTTGCATGCTGTTAACAGCTTTCTAAGTTCCCTTTTAGATTTGCTAGAATAGAATATATCCTTGATTTGTCTGTTTTGACCCTCAAAGGCATCAGGCATACTTTGGCTATTTGCTGTAAATGCATTCTTCATGGTATAGCATGAAAAGCTTGCAATTATAGTCAAGAGTAAGTATTTTCTTTGCTAAAATAGGCTTTTTACATAGATTGCTTTATATTAAATACAGATGTGCAAAAGTGAGAAAATTGGGGCTTTTGCTTCTTAGGTAACAAGGTGCATGTGAAAAGTAGAACACGTTTTCATCACTTTTATAAAAATAGATTTTTCTAAACTGGCCATTTACCACATACGCTATTTTCATAACATTTCTATTTGTTTATTTTTCAGCTTTTTTAATACAACTCAATGAACTAAAACTGGAAGATTTTTTTTTTTAATGAAGTAATATAGACTATGTCTCATTGTACTCCCTTCCTTGCTTCATTGCTCATCTGTCACCTACCTACTCTCACCCTCCCCATGTCCTCAATTGTTGCTGCAAGATTTCTTCAGCTTCAGCATCTGGATCAGCCTTCTTGTTACCTAGATTGCCTCAACCACCTCTTCCTTCAGATTTCATCCCACTCATGACTCAGTTGGCTCTTTATTTTGCTTGCAATTAAGTGCCTTAATTTTCTTACCATATTATGTGGCTCACAAGGCAGTTTTGTTTTTGTTTTTTTTAACCTTCTGCTGTTTCCTATTTAATTTTGTTCAATATTTTGAGAAATAATTTTGGAGTAAAATGTAAATTGTTAAAAATGCTTTCAAGTTAAGTAATATTTTCATCCATTTTAAAGTTTTCTATTTTAGGAACAGAAGAATTGTTTTGGAAACTATAAGTTATTTTTTTTTTTTTAAACTAGAGCTAGTGTTACAAACTCCTTAGGTCGTCCAGTTGAAGGACATATGGACTAAACAGGCTGGGTTAAAACAGTAATGCAGAAGATCAATGGATTCTTTTCGGAATGAAAAGTTTTTAACATCTAATTTGATGTACCTAGACTTTGGTTTATCTGAGGTGTAACATAAAGACTTAAGACAGAGTGAAAGAGCTTTATGTTTGGGGTAAGAATCCGCATGGAATGTTGAATTTCTTCTTTTTTTACAGAGAATACATATTGGCAAGTTGAGAGTTGTCAACCTGTGAAACAGTATGCAGACTTGCATCTTCTACTGTATCACATCTTCTAAATTTTTGTTTTAATATTGTTTTCTTTTGCTTAATCTAATAGCTGTATGTTTTGCATTTCCTAAGTAATATAGGTCAATAATTTTGTCCTTGTGTATCAGCTAAAATTCACTTGTGGTACAGGCGGTACCATCTTTTCTGCATTCTGGTGTATTTTAAAGCCCTGTTTTTTTCTTACTCTTGTACACTTTTCTCTTTTCTGACACTATTGTCCCTTTGACTTCTGACCATAGTTTGCATGGACCAAAGAGGAATGTCTTTGAAAGTTTTTCGTGGATTGACTGGGGGAAAAAAAAAAAAACCTACAACAAAACCTCAAAAATATTAGCTTTCTGTGGTTAATAATTCTCAATGGAAAGTTTTTAAGTATTTTTTCATGAATGGCACTGACCCAGCTATTTCTATTACAGACCAGACATCTGTTAATGACCTTTGCCAGTAAGAGCAGAATCACGTTAAAATAAGAAACAGATTTATACATGTATATACATCTTTTTCTATACAAACATACATGTAGTACATTGTAAAGGGATTTCTTTTGAGACATTTATGCTGTGAAAATCTATTAACTAATGATAAACTCTGTTCTTTAGATAAACTACTCTAGACCACAGAACCAGAACCTGTTTTCATGACTTAATGGTAGACACCAGGTTCTTTACCAAAAAGTGCTATGACATAGGAACCAGGGGATTTTTATAGACCTTGAGGACTACCAGATAGATTTTTGTTTTTAATCACTCAGGTGCAAGATTTTTACATTTCTTACAGACAATTTCTAGCAACCATGTTTTTTAAAAGCTGGGAAAGAATTCATTTTCAGTCTGTTTTCATTTCATGTTTACATATTGAAGGAAACCCATCAATGGACATGAAGAAATGAATTTAATATATTCTTTTAAATATAGATTATTTTGTAATTGACATTTGATTTCTAATTGCTTAAAACTAGTACAACAATAATGTTTTACTCATAACATCATCCTTTTTTATTAACTTCTCTAAACTGTCAACCTGGTTTGAAATAATTACATTACTTAAAACAGAATGGGAAATCAAAAATAGCTTGCATGTGTTTAATTCCTTGTGTTTAGAGGGAGGGATGTCACAGTTTGCTGACACAATACAAGCACAGTGCATGCAGAAAAAGTTCGAGGATTAAAAATTAATATCAGGACAAAAGGACTAAAGTCATTTGAAATCATTACCATGTTAGTATTTTTTCTTTTAAGGATAATTTGGAATCATTAAATTGTATATAATTTTTTATTGTGCTTTTGTTTTTCTAGGTAGTTGGCAAAAAAGGAGAAAGCCATTAGGGTACAAAAGACACTGGAAGACTTACTGCAGTCAGATTTGCAGCTCCTGGATAATTGCTTGATTCTCTTCGGAAACTGTTAATCTTTTATTTGTTGCCATTACCAATAAATCATTGCTTTTGTTCAGATGGCATCACTTGTGTTTCTATTGTAATCTTGATACATGCAGTTGTAAATAAAAGTCATTACTTTTGCCAAGCTTAAATTTTGTCATTCTATATAAGTGTATTCTCTCTTTTTTGTTTGAATATTGGCTAACTTTTTGGTTTAGAAGAGCTGTGTCTGGAATCACATTGGCTAAAAGCTAGTCTTTTAGAGGAACAGAATGTTAGAGGAATTAAGAGTACTGTTTGCACACATAGAGTGTTTTGATACATGGATCTGAAACCTATCTACACATGTGGAATGTTTTGATGCATGGATTTGAAATAGCTAACCATGTTTGAGTAAGAATTGACTTGCATTTTTTCAAGACATCTGGGTGTCTAGACTTTATAAATTTACTCAAATTATAAACAGCCACTAATCTTATCTTTAGTTACAGGTCTACAAATCTTTTGTTTTTAGGGGACAGTCTTGCTGTGCAGCATAGGCTAGCCTCACCATTGACATCCTCTGTGCCTGCCTCCCAAATGCTGGGATGGTAGGCATGTACCACCAAACCTGGTCTCAAGTCAAGATTTTAACTTTTTATATAAACCTAAAAATTAGAGTCAGCTACTTTCTTTAATAATTAAGGTATCAATACTGAATTCAGACAGTTGGCAAAATCCAGTACAATGAATTTATGAAAAATTGGAATTAGTATCTGATCTAATATTTATTATCTAAACTCAGCAAGCATTCACTAAATGTGTAGATAGAGAACGTAATTTAGGGTTGAAAATGAGTTGTCTCAACTTTTTGAAGATCTTTTACAAATTTGTTCTTACATGCTTTTTTTAAACACTTAGAATTGGACATTAGACTAAAATATCGGTCAATTTAATGTTTTAAATATTTGATGTGTATAAAATGTGTTTGGCCTCCATGTTTGTATATTCATATATATGTAATACCCAACTGAGGCTGGAAGAGCATCAGAACCCCAAGAATAGGAGTGACAGCTGCTTGAGAACTGCCACATGGGTGATGGAGACTGAACTCAGGCCTCTACAAGGCTGCTGCTCCAGCCCTAGAAATTTATTTTGTAATTCAGTATTTTACAAGTACATATAAGAGTATAGCTTGTAATTCAGTTCATACATTTGAGGACATTCTTATCTAGAAATAGTGCTGAGATTTGCCCTTTCAATACTAATGTATTTATACATGGTTATGAAAAAACTATGGAAGTTAATGTTGAAGTAGTCCTCTTCTGAAATTTGTGTCATTAAGTAATGTTCAGTTCATTTGTATGTGAGTACAGTAACTGGTCTGTGGTGATGTCTGTATTTTATGTATTTCACAGTTTTGTTGATTTAGAACAAAAGGAAGACAACAAATAAAAGTTTATAATACTTGTAATGTAAGCCATCTGAAGTTAATTACACCTGAAATGAATAAGATTAACATCAAGAGTTTTAGTTTATACTCACCCATTTGGGGTAATCACTGAAGTTCCTCATCTCAAGTGTAAATGGTCTCATCCTGTTTATATTTGACTGCTTGAAAAAAAACAGTAAAAATAGCTTCACATTTGCAAAGGATCAGACATCAGATTTTTGTTGTTCATATGACTTCTGTAACTTCATTGCAGATATTCATACAGATACACCGTCATTCAAGTTGTAAATTGTGAAGAATGCTAGTAGGAAATCTAACATTTGTTGCAGGTTTTATTGCTACAAAAAATAAAGATGCATAGTTGATATTTAAAACATCAAACTAAAAATGCTATTCTCTGTTAAACTAAACCAGTACATAGTTAAAACATGTAAATATTATACATATACACACATATATAACTGCTGAGCCATCTCCCCAGTCACACACACATATATAAAATACATGTAACAATTTTCTAGAAAAGAACATGAAGAATATGTAACCTTGGTTATTTTAATGTTAGCCATCCATTAGTGTTTTCTAGAAAACTAATACTTGTTTTGTCAAACTGTATTTGTCAAAAAAATTTAATTGTATGCATCTTGTATTTCACATCAAGGTGCCTAGCTCAGACACAGTGAAACAAAGTGTTGCCATAGGAAGGTTTTGTCAGAGAAAGCCTTAAGAATAAGACTAGCACTTATTACTGCATCTTGTGTTCGTATTGGTCCTTTATAAATACACTTTGGCTGACTGGCTGTCAGGTACCAAATCATACCCTCTCCCCCACCCTGATACATGAATGTACTTGATGGAGACAGTCACTTAACTGCCTACCAACCACGTTTGTCTAAATGATTAAAGATTTATAAGGTGTTTTTTGTGGTGTTCGTAGTTCTTACTATATAGGATTGTACATTTAATACAGACATTTCTTTTAGAAATACCATTAGCTCTTTAGAGAATCTTGAGATCATATGTAGGCTATGAGATGAAGTCTTCTATATATGATAGGGAGTTGCACCCATCAAATCTTAACAATATGGCCTCCTGAACAAGACCTGCACAATGACCCCACCAGTTGACATGCCAAAATGGGATGAGGAACTCTTACAAGACCCCATCACTGAAAGAAAAGCTACTAGGAATCAGTCTTATCCAGGGAAAAGCCTCTTGGGTTTATGTGTATATGTATTTAGGGTTGACCCTTCAGGATTGGTCAGTCCTAATAACCCAATCCAACATAATCTGAGCAACACGAAATGGACTTGGCAGGTTGTATTTATCTATATCTACACCTGTATATGTGTGTGTCTACTTTTCTGTTGCTGTGAATATCCCTGACCAAGGATGTTACAGAAGAGTTTACTGGGGCTTAACAGTTTGAGAGGGTGAGCCTGTGCCCCTTATGTTGGGGGAGCATGGCAGCAGGCATGTTGCTAGAGCAGTAGCAAAATGGTTGCTTGCATCTGATCCAGAAACATGAGGGAGAGTCAGCTAACTGGGAATCCTGTGGGCTTTTGAAATGGAAGTTACACCAGGAAAAAGAAAGGATTACATTACTTTAGTTATATCTAAAAATGTAATTATAAAGTTGCTGGTATATACCTTATTTGAATCAATACCAATCATTACCTTTGGTTTCTTTATTACACCAAAGAAAATTGTGTGTAGTTTCTTAAGTGCTTATATATGAAAATTTCAATGTCTTATTTGTCTGTTTACCTCATTGGATTATCACGTTTGGGAAATATTGATCCAGGAGGAATTGGAATTTCCTCCTGAAGTTTTTAGTCTCATTAATAAAGTGCATTTTAATATCTATTTGTTTGTTTGTTTATTTGAGACAAGGTCTCACTATGTAGGGCTGTCCTGGAACTTAACTATGTAGACCAGGCTGACTTCAGACTCACAGAGATCCTCCTGCCTCTGCCTCCCAAGTGCTGACATTAAAGGCATCTACCACTACCACCTGGCATAAAATACATGAAAGTAGTTTTTAATGGAAGTACGCTTTTAGTGACCATGGCCCAGGAACACAGGTTTTGGTTACCTCAAATTCTGTGTGTCAACCCGGATTCCTTTTTATGTTTCATTAAGTTTTATAGTTTTGCAGAGCAAAGAGTCAAATCATGGCAAGTTTAAAATACATTGGTGGTTTCATTAATAAAAGAATTTAAGAATGGGCTCAATAGTATGCTCGAGGACAATTTTATTAGAACTTAGAAGAAAAACAAGCCCAGGACAGTAAACTCATTAGCTACCCAGAGGATAGAGGATGTTAGAAAAGCTGTGCAGTAACTGGCATGGAGGTCAGACCTAGACAGGTAGCTTCATGGTGGGGAGGGAGGCTTCAGAGAAAGTAAGGATGACAAAAGTGTTGGGGGACTCGAAGTATTGAAGCGTGCTTAGATAGGATACATAGAGAAGAATCGTTCATTTTCTGAATGATTCAGGAAAGCAGGCTAATTTGGAAAGCTTCAGTACTCAGTGATGCCATTTGTTCCTTTTATCCCAAGAGGTTTTGTCCTTCCCCTTCCTTGGTGGGATGCTTGAGTGAGAATGGTGCCCATAGACTCCTATATTTGAATGCTTCCTCCCCAGTCAGTGGATTATTGGGGAAGGATTATGAGGTGTGGCCTTTTTGGAGGTATGTCACTGGGGGTGGACTTTCAAAAGCCGTTGCCAGGCCAGCTTCTGCCTCCTGCTGGTGGGTCAGTTATAAGTTCTCAGCTGCTGCTCCAGCACGTGCTGGCCCGCCTACTGCATGCTCTCCACCTTGATGCTCATGTACTCACCCTCTGAAACTGAGCAAGTCCCCAGTTAAATCCTTCGTTTTGTAAGCTGGTATCATGGTATCTTTTACAATAGAAAAGACAATTGCACTGCCCAGTGACAGCACTGGTCCACAGCACAGTGCACAAAGGTGTGTCTATTGAATAGTGGGAAGGCTGGGGGGAAAGTCACATGCATGTCACCAGGTAGCATCTCTGGGATATATCAGTCACACAGTACATCTGTGCCATCACGTGGCAGGACTGTGCATAGCAGGTAGGCAAACAGCAGTGCCATGCCATGGGGCTGGTACGTAGCAAGAATGAGAACATCTCACCATGTGGCCACACGTATATGGCAGGCACATGAATAGGTGCCTATATCATCACACAGTAGTGCTGGGACATAACAGGCATATGAACAGGCATGGTGTGGTGGTGCTGGGACATATCAGGTACTCAGACATGCATGCCTGCTCCTTCCTGTATATGAACATAGCAGATAGGTTAACAGACATGGCCATCCTGCCATTTGATGACACTGACATGGCAAGCATGCTGTGCTACCAGGTGGAGACATAGCAGGCACCAACACCAGTTTTCATGCTGCCAGATGGCTCTGCCAAGACATGGGTGGTGCAGGAACTTCAAGTCTACACAGCCAGGTGATGGCTATGGGATATAGCAAGTGTGTGAAAAGGTGGGCCCGCCCCACTAGAGAGCATCACTGGAACTAGGCACAAGTGCAAACAGGTGTGCCCATGCTACCAAGGTGTGGTGTTGTGACACCACAGGCTTTCAAACAGGTGAGGCAGTGCACTGGGACACAATAAGTAGATATCCTGCCACCATGGAGTGGCTCTGGGAAAAGGCAGGCATGTGTGAACAAGCATCTCGAGATACC